TCGGTTCTGGTCTGGCGCACGGGCAGGGGTGCCTCCTGTCCCCCGTAAGGCGCGTGTTAAAGCCCGCATCTGTTCAGCGTCAGCTTCGCTTGCCCTTTCGCTCAGGCCTGCAGCTCTGCGGGCTGCTGCCGGCCGGCTCCGCAGGCCAGAGGCGATTTCAGAGAGCTGTCAGCGAGCATGGAGCTGCTTCGACGCTAGCGACAGGTCTCGGGGGCCGGGGGTGGTGCTGGGGGGTTTGGTGCAGGAAAGCAGCTTCATGATTGCAGCCAAAGGCCTACCCTAGTAAGGGCCAACTTTTGGCACCATTTGAGAGACGTTTCGTTCCACCTGGTTTCTCTGCAGTTAGGTTGCTTATCGTGAATAAAAATGATAAGACTTCTTCCCCCACCACACACACACACACATTGAAATTAAAATATTAATGTTGCTTGCCTTCCTTGGGGGGGGCTTTTAATCTTGGGAGGGGGGAAAAGTTTCTTTTTCTTTTTATTGTGTCCATTTTTTTGCCAGTTTACACTGGTGGCTAATAAAATACGCAACCTGAATGGCAGTGTTAACTGCCTTTCCCAACTCATAAATGCAAGGGCTGTTAGTAACATCGTGACGTGCCTGTTACCCTTGGAATTGTGAATCTCATGTCAAGTCCTATGTGAAATTAGTCTCCGCTTACTGGCTAATGGATTCTGCTTCACGTCGTGTACTACAACAGCTAATTCAGTAGAGTACGTTCTCCTGTGATTGATGGTTCTTTATTGCTGGAAAACAACCAGTAAACGTTGAGTTGCCATTAACTTTTTTTTAAATGTTAATGTCCATTAAATTTTTATAACTGAATATGATGGGGCGTTTGTGGCTTCTTGCTTGTGGTGTTTTATTTAACCAATTTTTTATCCACGTATTTATATGGGGCTATATTTTAGACACTGGATGAAAGGAGTTCAGCTGACTTCAGTTCAATCTACCATGTAAAGTGTACTCTTCTACAGTAGGTCGGTGGAATATTTACCCCAATTAATGGATGCTGCTAGTGAAAGACTAAAACTCATGAACAGAGAGAACAGAACACATCTTGCCTTGCTGTCAAAAGGGAGCAGATGTTGAGCTTAGTTAGCCAGCAGTGTATGACAGAGTAAGACTCCCACAACCTGGATTGCAACATCATTAATTTTTCTTATTTTCATGTAATACTCTCTTTTAAAGTGAAATTTCTGCTCATGTTTTTTGCCAGTTTATTAACCCCCTGGAGATTTCAAAAGCCAGTTTTTAGATTTTCTTCCTTTGAAGGCTGTGGAGAAGCTGCTGTGACATTTGCAGGTTTACAGTCCGGGCAGTAGTAACCAGCTTTGAAGAGATGAGTAGGTTTTGAAAAGGTCATACACAGATCTTGTATTTAGCACTTTCCTTCTGCAGATCTTCTTGTTTACAAATGTTTTAATTAATCCTTTAGCAGCTGCTTCTGCAGATACTGATAAGATGTATTATCACAATTCAACGGGCAGGTGAAGCGTCACCCAGAGGTGACGTGGTCAGTGGTGGCATTGTGAAGACCCTTTGCGCTGAGTACCGGACCACATGTGCTCACCTCTTGATGTCGAAGGATGGCTCATGCTTTTAGATCTTGCACCATTTGGTCCAGGTCCCATTGCTTGGGGAAGCTAATCCAAATAACCACTCAGTTACTGACTTACTCTGTGTCTACCGCAGTAGGTATATTTTTAATTCATCCATGCGTGTTTACATTTTAGATAAGTGTGATCACATATTTTTTATTCCTGTAGTAATCTTTAGGAACATAATCTTTAAAATGTAATGTGAAATGATTATTTAATTGGGTGCTTGTAGCAGAATTTCTCCTGTTGAGATTTCTGACTGGCTAACCAATTTCCTTGAGCAATATGGTTTTCCACATGATAGATTCCCTTATTTTCCTCAAGAAGATACTGTAATTTTAATTGGAAAGCTTTGACATATTTTGGATCGACTAAGCAAAGAAAAGTCAATTTTTCTTTCATTAAAGATCTTGTACAAATGGATGCAAATAGAAGTATAAATGGAAAATGAGACACTAGCGCTATATTGGCTTTTATTTCAGAGTTTGGTTTGCTTGGGCATGTTGTAAAGACTGAAGAGGTGTGAGAGGTGTATATAATATATATATTGCACATCTGTATTACCTGTATTTTTTAAATAAGCTCAGGAATGCAGTTTTTTTGTGGGAGGGAAGTGTTTTGTGATGCCTTCTTGGGCTTTATCCCCAGCCAAGCCCATTTTAGCTGGGATCTAAACAACGTCAAAGTATCTGCTAGTGTTCAAGAGACAGATGTGCCCCACTGGCACATTATCTGTCAGCCTGCAGGCTTATCTAAACATAAAAACGATGCTGCGTTAAATGAGAAGGGTAAAATTAGTTGATATGAAATTCCTCTGCACATGTATGCTTTGATAGCCACAAAGCAATTTTTGTGCAGGAGTGTGTATAAACTGTACTGGTAGACTTGCCCCTAGCTGGGAGTTACATTGGTGTAAATGTACACCTCTGACAGATACAGTTACTCAAACACTTTCTGTAGACCATATGGGAGGTCCCAGCTGCTAGGGATGCGAGAATATAAGGATTACTACTGTAAAGTTGTGAAAGAGTTGTTTGTTCCAGCGTGTTTGGTTAACATTGTTAATACTTAAATTGCCACTCAATTCAGGCACCTTAATTGAGACAAATGGAAATAAAAGGGATGTTTCACATACATCAGGTCTGTAGTTTTGCACTCTCAGCAATTTTTCATAGGCCATGACAGATGACCTTTTTTAGTGCCAGCTGTGAGAGAGGTTACTGTTCCTATCTGCCTGTTCCCATCCTCTGCCAAAGGTTATCACCAAGTAAGCAATTTACAGGAATGTCCTTGTATTAGGCAAAATTAGCAGCCTTACCCTAAACTAAGTTATTGGTCTCAACAAACTCGGCAGGCTGTTCCTGTGGTGAGTTAACAGGTGCTTACACATACTGCTTGACTGGTACTTTGTTGGGTCATCGATGAGAAGTTAAGAGCTGGTAACATCTCCCTCTAGCACAGCCGGATACAAGAGACTTTTTTTGTAGCCTCAGTTACTTTATCCACTTCCAAAGGCAGGTTCCAGCCTTCAGGGCTACAAACGCAAGCCAGTTCATTAAATGAAATCTGAGAAAAGAGGAGGATGGTAGGAAGTATAGATGTTTCAAACAATGGCCAACCTGGTATGACCTCCCTCTAGCTCCGAGCTCCAGTGCTGTTTGTATGATGTTGGTTTCTGATATACAGCAATAGCTTTAACCCCATTATGTTCTCTCTGGCCTTTGCTGAAACATTAGAAAAATCTTAGCAAAGTTACGGAGTTGTAACAACTCAGATCCATCAAAACTAATGAGAAAAGGTCTGTTTCATTGTATGTAAGTACAGATGTGGCTGACTGTTGACTTCCAGTAGATAGCTGTGATCAGCAGTTGTTTACGTTTCCATTGCCTGTTTGCCCAAACTTAGACCAAACCCAGAGAAAAATCATAAAAAGCATTTATCAACTGTTAAATACTATGTAATAGATAATTGTCACCATGTAATTATTGCATGTTCAAACGTACACACAATGCAAAAAACTGAAGCTGGTGTTTATGTGTCTTTCCTTTTAGTTCATGCAAAGGGGTTTGGATTCACAAACTAAAAAACAACTGGAAGAGGAAGAAAAGAAGATAATTAGTGAAGAACACTGGTATCTTGATTTACCAGATCTAAAGGAGAAAGAGTAAGCTTGTACCCTTTTGTACTTCTTATCATAATTGGATTGTTGTAGAGTGGGAATACAATGCAGGTATTTTTTCCTATAAAAGGAGTATTATTAATAGCCAATTAACAGAAGCAAAAATAGTGACAGACTGGCATTACAGCTTTTTTTATTATTTATTTTCAGGGACATTCTCAAGGTTGCCTAGTGCAGTTTGACCTACTTTCATTTCTTGTGTGTGTTGTTTTCATTCACTCACAATTTCTTCTAGATGCATGTAATTAGTTTCTTTCAGGCAGGGACCAATTCATTCACTGCTGCTTTTTCCCTTCATTTGAAAAAAGAAGTTCGAAACTTTGGGTTAATAAATTCAGTTCCAGTCACACGGTTAGGTCCATTCAGGACAGTTCTGTCTTGAATGCAGCTCACTTCAAATCCTGTTTTTGAAATAGGAGAGATAATGGCAAAAGTAAAGGAAAGCTTAGCTAATAAGGAAGAAAATGCCCATTC